AGCTGGGACTACAGGCATGCCCATGCATGGCAGAATAATTTTTCTATATATTTTTAGTTGGCCAATTCATTTCTTTCTATTTTAGTAGAGACGGGGTCTTGCCTTGCTCAGGCTGGTTTCGAACTCCTGATCTTGAGCTATCCACCCGCCTTGGCTTCCCAGAGTGTTAGGATTACAGGCATGAGCAACCATGCCCAGCCTGTTTATAATTATCTTAATGTCACTATATGTATTTAGAATGTGATTTTTGTTCAAACATTAGACATACTTTCAAATAAGGTAAAAAGTCTCTCGTGCTTTTCCATATTTTGTCTCCTCTTGTTTGTTGAAACTTCCTAATATTCTAAGAAATTTTATCACTTCCTTTTACTATGGAGGATTCATTTCAAAGTACTACGGGATACAAATATTTTCGGTTTCATGGATCACTTTTATAATGCTTGAGTCACAGTTATAAGCGTTCCCATCACCCAAATAGAGTTCACTGTACCCCTTACGTAGGTTATTGCTCGTCCTCTCCTACCCCTGCTCCCTGATTGATTTCCATTGAGTTTTTTTTTTTTTTACGGAGACATAGTACAAGAAATTTCCATTGAGTTTTACTTCCCTCTATGCACATGTGTGCTCTTCAGTTCTAATTTAATAGTGAGTGGATGTGGTGGTTGTTTTTCCATTCTTCACATACTTCACATAGCATAATGTTCTCTAGTTGCATCCAAATTGTTGCAAAAGGCATTAAGTCAACCTCCATGGATGAGTAGTATTCCATGGTGTACATATACCACATTTTGTTAATCCACTCATCAACTAATAGGTATTTGGGTTGATTCCACATCTTTGAAACTGTAAACTGTGCTGCAATAAACACTCAAGTGCAGGTGTCTTTTGTTAAAATGACTTCTTTTCCTGTGGTTAAACACCAACTAGTGGCATTGCTGGATTAAATAGGTCAGCTTTTAGTACTTTGAGAAATCTCTATTCTGTTTTCCATAGATTTCTACGTTAATTAGCAGTCCCGCCAGCAATGCATCAGCATTCCTTTCTCTCTGCATTCATGCCAGCATCTATTCTTTTTAAACTTTTTAATAAAGGCCATTCTGACCATGGTAAGGTTTTAACTTGCATTTCCCTGATGATTAGTGATATTGAACATTTTTCATGTTTATTGGGCATTTATCTATCTTCTTTTGAAAAGCTTCTGTTGGTGTCTTTTGCCCACTTTTTAATGGGGTTATTTGATGTTTTCTTGCTGATTTGCTCAAGTTCGTTGTAGATTATGCTTATTACTCCTTTGCTGGGTGTGTAGCTTGCAAATATTTTCTCCCACTGTGTAGGGTATTTGATCTGGTAATTAGTTCCTTGCCTGTGCAGAAGCTTTTTAATTTAATCAAGTCCCATTTATTAATATTTTTGTTGTTGCTGTGATTGCCATTGAGCTCTTCATAAATTCTCTGCTAGGCCAATATGTAAAGATTTTTTCTGATATTTTCTTCTAGAATTATTATGGTTTCATGCATTATATTTAAGTCCTTTATCCATTTTGAAATAATTTTTGTAAGTGGTGTGAGATATGGATCCTGTTTCATTCTTATGCATGTGACTATCCAATTTTCCCCGCACCACTTACTGAATAGGGATTCTTTTCCCCTGCTTTGTCAAAGATCAGTTAACTGTGAATGGCTTTATACCCGGGTTTTCTGTTTGATTCCATTGTCTATGTCTCTGTTATTGTACCAATACCATGCTGAATTAGTTACTATAGCCTTATAGTATAGTTTGAAGTCTGCTAATGTGATGCCACCAGATTTGTTCCTTTTCCTTAAAATTATCTTGGATATTTGGGCTCTTTTCTGTTTCCACACAAAGAAAATTATTTCTTCTATATCTGAGAAATATGTTGGTATTTTGATGGGGATTGCACTGAATCTATAAAGCACCCTGGGTAGTATGGACATATTAAGAAATTGATTCTATCAATCCATGAGCATATGTTTTTCCATTTGTTTGTATCATCTGCAACTTATTTCCTCAGTGTTTTGCAGTTCCCTTTGTGGAGATCTTTCACTTCCTTGGTTAAGTATATTCCTAGGTATTTTATTTTCTTGAATGTTCCTATCTTGAATGTTATTCTTTGACTTGATGCTCAGCTTGACTGTTATTGGTATATAGGGATGCTACTGATTTGTGTACATTGATTTTGTGACCTGATACTTTGTTAAATTTATTTATTAATTCCTGGAGTATCTTTGTGGAATCTTTGGAGTTTTCTAGATATAAGATCAAACTACCTACAAAATGGATGATTTGACCTCTTCTTCCTGATACAGATTATCCATATCCATTGCTAGAGAGCTGGTGTTCCCTTTGGGGGTGACTTTTCACTCTGATTCTTCATACTTCCAGAGTTCTTTCACTGATTCATTTTTATCCAGAGCAAATATTGCTTCTTTTCTTTTCTTTTTTTTTTTTCTTTTTGAGACAGAGTCTCACTCTGTTGACGGTGCTAGAGTGCCATGGTGGCAGCCTAGCTCACAGAAACCTCAAACTCCTGGGCTCAAGTGATGCTTCTGCCTGTGATTTTCATCCTGTTGGTTAGTTAGGATACTGCATTATTTTCTAAAAGTTGTCTTTTTATCTGTCTTCAAATGGAATTAATATTGCAAATTGATGGGATGCTGTAGGCTATGATAGAGAGAGCATGTATTTCTTGTTTTCTAATTTTTCTTTTTATTTGTTCTGTACCCATTTCCCTTCTACTTCCTAGCTTTTGCTAACATCTAACCCAAGATACAGATAATAGAAAAACAAAGGCATTAAGCACTATGAATTTGCTTGGTTGCCAATGTATCCAACCAATCTGCCCTCATTTCTTTGATCTTCTTATATTTGTTTTATATATAATGTCCAGACTTTTAATGTACTTAGTAGGATAGATCTATTTTCAGATAAATAAGCACCTAGTCTAACAATCTTGACCCAAAAACATTATACCATGTACAATTAGTATATTTATCTACCTTGTTAAATTTAGGTCTATCCTTTCATTACTATTTTTGTCTTCCTTTTTTTTTTTAACTCTACCCTCTTTACTCACTGGTATATAAAAACGTTTTTAGTATTCCAATTTATTTAATATTTTCTGTATCTTTTTATAATATTTTTAGGTTGTTCTAAGAATTAAGATATACCTACCTAATGTTTTCCTATCTCCTAAAGATTAGGACTACTTCAATTAAAACCTATACAGGTCCCATTATAATCTGCCCTGTCATGAGCTGTGAAATGCCTGTGACTTTGTCATACTTTCAAGCTAACATATAAGCCTGTCATATTTTTGGAAATTCTTACAGAAGACATGAGGCAAAACATTATAACTCATGGCACAATAAGCAGGATGAGCATCTTCACAGTAAATTCATGAATGGTTTGTACTGGTTCTTCAAGCCCTCAATATTCTGAAAGGGCAAGGAAAAGTGACCCAGGTGGAAACATTCACTCGATTTACATACAAGTAAAGAACCTGAAGCATAGGAAATCAGAATCTTTTACAATGACCTGTGAGCAAACCTAACCTTTTTTCTTTTTTTATACTGGACAGTAAACAAACCTGCACTCTGTTCTGGAAGAATACTCTTTCAAAGCTGTTCAATATACAAACATCGTTGAAAAGATAGCCAGTGCATTTGCTCATAAGATGTGGTAAAAGAGAGACCTATGGATGATTGTCTGCCACCAACATCGATGCATTGATTCTAAACTAGCTTGGCTCCTGGAAAAGTTTCCCATAAATACACTACTCTGTTGGCCACTGTGATTATCAAACAGGCCGGATCCAAAACTTTAATGTCTTTTCTTTTTTTTTTTTGAGGCAGAGTCTCACTCTGTTGCCCAGACTAGCGTGCCGTGGCCTCATCCTAGCTCACGTCAACCTCAAACTCCTGGGCTCAAGAGATCCTTCTGCCTTAGCCTCCTGAATAGCTGGGACTACAGGCATGCACCACCATGCCAGCTCATTTTGTCTACATATATTAGTTGGCCAATTAATTTCTTTCTATTTTTAGTAGAGACTGGGTCTCGCTCTTGCTCAGGCTAGTTTTGAACTCCTGACCTTGAGCAATCCGCCCATCTAGGCTTCCCAGAGTGCTAGGATTACAGGTGTGAGCCACCGCGCCCGGCCTCCGGCTAATTTTTTCTATGTATTTTTAGTTAGCCAATTAATTTCTTTCTATTTTTAGTAGAGACAGGGTCTCGCTATTGCTCAGGCTGGTTTTGAACTCCTGCCCTCGAGAAATCCTCCCGCCTTGGCCTCCCAGAGTGCTAGGATTACAGGCGTGAGCCACTGCACCCAGGCAAAAAGTGTAATATCTTACATAACATTGAAACAAAAGGCCTTCAAGCAGCAGAAAGACACCACTTATAGTATTAACTTCAACTATGTAACCCAGAAATAGAGACCCAGCTATATAAAGAAATCACAAAGGTACAAAGGAATGCCTTATAAAGCCAGGTAGCTTTTTCAGTTTCAATATTGACTTGTCTATTAGGTCCAAGGCATTAATTTAGATACAGCAGGATGTACTGACTTCAGAGGCTCGGCCTCTGCCTTAATTTTGAAACTCTAGAGGAATCTTATCCTCTGTAAAAAAGATAATGAGGTGAAGCTAACATGACTACTCTGTAGGAAATGAGTGACATCATTGATCACTTCAGTTGATTTTAAGGACAAATTTCACATAAACATTTTATAAGTGGACTTCTCTCAATGTAGGGAAAGCTTCATACAAATAAGTCAATGATCCCTCCAGGAATCTCCCCAAATAACATCATTCTGAGAAATCAAGAAGAGGTACACAATCTACTGTGGTATATCCTTAAATCCCTTGAGTTATATCATGACCAGCCCTAAGGCGTAAGGCAACAGGATGAAGACACATTAATGGATGACTAACATGTGAGAAATACAAATCCTAGAGCGCACATGGTACCACTTAACATGTTTATTTTTTTTCACTTAACATGTTTATTATTGTATCCCCTTGTACACATGGGACCTACGCATATTTCAAGGTGCGAAGTAACAGTGTTTAAATACAATCTTCCACCAAGTTTGAAAGTCAGGGTGCACAGTCCAGTTCGACAAAATTTCTATAGGGACTACCAGAGGAAAATCAATATATCCTGTCCAATTTGCCCATGACTCTAACCAGATGGCATGCTTCTATGACAGTGGTAAGAATGGGATTAGAGAAGTTATCTAAAGATTAGCTGTTTTTATAAGAGATGCAAGAATGGGGAACATGCCCTATGGTTATTGCTGAAAAATACATTAACTTCAGGTGACAAAATTATTTTCAAAGCCACCTAGTAGGAAAAGGCAAATTCTGCAGTCAGTTAAATTACAGGTGCTTCCAACCATTTTGGAGAACCACAGCAGAGCATTTTCTCTCATAATTAAGACTCTTGGGTTTGGTTCTGAAAGCCAAGTTATCAATTCATGTCCCTACCCCATGCTACATAGATCAATGATGTTCCCTTGTTAGTTCCTCTTTTCAGCACTTCCATGAAATCCGTACGTTCCACTCCAATCGAATCCCCAATGCCAATGTTTGGTAGGGCTACAACCAAGAAGGTGCGCAAAACAAGGCAGTGAGGGGTAAATGTTAGGTGAAAGAAAGAGGCATTATACAAAATAATGGTCAGAGGGAATCCTTGATTCTCAAATTAGGTCTAAGTAATTTTGTCTTATTTATTAACCAAAAGGCAGTCTAGAGATGATCTCTTTATGGGGAGAGCCACAGTCAATCACCAAACAGCTTTACTAAGATGTTGGAGAAAGAAGAGGTGAGGTATATACAGGCATGTTGTTGAGTAACATTTTTGAGAAAAGTTACACTAATATTCGATGACAAATAGTGTGGAAAATAAAAACTTGACACATATTAGTTTCAAGGGCTACAATGGAGTAACCAGAATTAGAGAACCACATTGGAACAGCAACACCATATCCTAAAAAAAAAACAAAAAACAAAAAACAACATTGGTAAGGCACCGCTAATTACCACCAAAATGGGTTACAAGGTCTGAGGTAGTAATGTTGCTATAAACAGAGCAAAAACTAGAGCAATGGGTAGACCCTAAGAATGAGACAAATGGGTTAATACTTGGAAGAAGTTGCAAGTCTTAGAATAACTTTTTATTGAATTCATTTCAAAGGATACTTTTCCTTATTACAGACTCCAAAGTTGAAAATTCATTTCCTCCAGCACTTTAGGTGCCATTTTCTAGACTCTAGTTTGAAAAGAAATACAAAGCCATTCTAATTGCTATTTCTGTAAACAATAGTTTGATTTTTGACAGGAGCCTCCAATATATTTTCTTCATCTTTTCATTTCATAATTGGATTTTGTTATATATCTGTATGCATTAGAGTTTACGATTCTTGAGATCTGAGGTTCTTGAATTTGTAAATTTATTCCTTTCACAAAATTTTGGCAATTAGTCCTTCAAAGATTTTTTTTTCTTTTGTGACTCCAAAAGCGCACACACACACACACATACACACAATTGTCCCATGGGTCCCTGAAACACTATTACCTTTTTGTTTAGCAATACTTTTCTCTGTTATTCAAATTGGTTACTAATTATTTGTCTTTAAGTTCATCATTTATCCTGTGTTATCTCTATTTTGTTACTGAACTCATACACTTTATTTAAAACTTCACACACTTATTTTTCAGTTCTATAAATAACTACTTGAAACTTTCAACCAGTTTCCTTTTTTTCCCTAAATTCTTATGATTTTGAGAAACATTGCTGTATTTCTTTTGGACTAGCCCATGCATCATCAGCTTGTAGGTAAGCTCAGGAATTGGGTTGGATGACGTAAAAACTGAGGAGATACCCTTCTTTAGCTGCTGCTTTGAGATTACCCAAGTCTTCAGCTCCGAGGGACATTTTTATTCAACCTATATTACACTAGATACACAATAGTTCTCTGGGAATTTAAGCCACCTTGCTATCACAAGGATCTGTATGACTGCAACCACCACTGTGAAAAAGCAACAAAAAAATAAGAAATAATAACAGAGATTCTACGCACTCCTCTATCCACAAGGTTAACATTACCATGTTATTTAAATAAAGATGACTTTCTCTCTTGTGGACTTCAGTGCTTGTGCCACCAGCACGAAGAAACTCCACAACAGCAGCTATGCTTAAGGCAAAGCTAGGAGATAAAAAATTCTACCTATACTCTCCAGTTCACAGGTGGTCCATTTCCCAGTCAACTGGGCAAAATGATAGGTTCCCTCTCAGTTTCTGCTGACCCTACTCATTACAGTTTAGAACTAGGAATGCCCTCAGGCCCTTTGGTCACCAGAGAGATAAAGAAAAAATTTCATTAAGTAGACCCTGTATAAGTCACTCTTTAAAACCTGGGTTTGGCTCCCAAATCTACATGTTGTCAAATTTTCAGAGATTTTAGCTTTTTTTTTACAGTATCTAGGAGCTAATATGGTTGGTCCCTAAATATTTTTTTTTTTAAGACAGAATCTCACTCTTTTGCCCGGGCTAGAGTGCTGTGGCGTCAGCCTAGCTCACAGCAACCTCAAACTCCTAAGCTTAAGCAATCCTTCTGCCTTAGCCTCCCAAGTACCTGGCATGCGCCATGATGCCTGGCTAATTTTTTATACATATTTTTGAGTTGTCCAGCCAATTTCTTTCTATTTTTTGTAGAGACGGGGTCTTGCTCTTGCGCAGGCTGGTTTCAAACTCCTGACCTCGAGCGATCCTCCTGCCTCAGCCTCCCAGAGTGCTGGGATTACAGGCGTGAGCCACAAGGCCCAGGCCCTAAATCTCTGAAATCCTAACACTATAGCATGAAACCTTTTATCCTGCTGCATTTACCAGTCACTGCAGTATAGTGTCTTAAAAAGCATGAAAGAATATGGGAATCCATGTTTTATTCTTGAAATTAATGGTAATTCTTATAATATTTCAACATTAAGGTGTTTGCTGTGTTTTTAAAAGTATATTATAAAGTTCTAAAACATATGGTTATTTTCCACTTACCTACATGTGTCACTTCATACACCAAGGAACATATGGCACACTTGTGGATGTGCTGAAATGATTTTACCTTTAAAATGATTAAGATAAGGTTAAAAACCCTCAGGCAACCATTTACAAATTCATTCCTGTTTCTCAATATTCAACATGACATTGTACATTTATAACACATGTATGTACCCATAAACATTTCTCTTAATAAACTTCACAATAAATGGTATGCTATTGTACATATCATTCTGCAACTTCCTTTTTAATTAATTAAACAATGTACTTCGAATCAGTTAATGGAGACAAAATTCCATGATAAGATTAATAATTTATAAGATTCAAGATGAATTACATTGCATTTAAAACCTCATAAACCTCCCTGTAAACATTTTTCATTTAACTATGCATAAAATTTTTGTCACAGGAAACCTGGTGTTACATAGATATTGAAAATTATCCCATAAAGTTTTATGCAAATTTATACTTAGGAATGATTTATAAATGTTACTATGTTTTCCTAGTCTTAGCAAAATTGGGTGTTATCAAAAGACCAAATTGGCCGGGCGCGGTGGCTCACGCCTGTAATCCTAGCACTTTGGGAGGCCGAGGCGTGCGGATTGCTCAAGGTCAGGAGTTCGAAACAGCCTGAGCGAGACCCCGTCTCTACTAAAACAAAATAAATTAATGACAACTAAATTATATATACAAAAATTAGCTGGCATGGTGGCGCATGCTGTAGTCCCAGCTATGCGAGGCATGAGCAGTAGGATCGCTGACCCCAGAGATTGAGGTGCTGTGATCCAGCTGATGCCACGGCACTCCATCTAGCCTGGGCAACAAAGCGAGACTCTGTCTCAAAAAAAAAAGACCAAATTGCCATTGCATTTAATTTTACACATCAGTGGTAACTAGTGAGATTGGAAATACTTCCAAAATTATTATCCAATATTATTTCCATGTTTTAACTAATGTTTTAATATAATTTTATATAATTTATCTACTTATCTATTTTTTACTAGTAATTAATATTTTTTTTTTTTTTGAGACAGAGTCTCACTTTGTTGTCCAGGCTAGAGTGAGTGCCGTGCGTCAGCCTAGCTCACAGCAACCTCAAACTCCTGGCTCAAGTGATCCTCCTGCCCCAGCCTCCCGAGTAGCTGGAATACAGGCATGCGCCACCATGCCGGCTAATTTTTTTAGTAATATCAGTTGGCCATATATTCTTCTATTTATACTCAGAGAACGGGGTCTCGCTCTTGCTCAGGCTGGTTTTTGGACTCCTGACTTGAGCAATCCGCCGAAAAAACAACCGGCTCCCAAGAGCTAGGATTCAGGCGTGAGCCACCAGCGCCCCCCTAGTATACATATTTAAAAAATAAGCCTTCAACCATAATCCTTCATTTCTTAGGAGACATAAGTACATTCTACCAATTTCTAGATTAAAATTACCTTGTTTATGTTCTTTTCTGTGCAATATAACTTTTAAATGTTGAAATATATCAAAATATTCACTATAGTTTACGGTTTTTAAATATTGGTATTTATTTAAATTAGCTGCATGCTTTGAGATCATAAACATTTTTATATTTTATTAAAACATAAATATTTCATATTTGGGTTTTCAACCTATGTTTTAAAAAAGTATGTTGTGAAAGAATCTATTCTTAATTTTTTTCCTATAGGGATAAATATTGCCAGTAGAACCACTTGTCAACTGGATATATAGCCTCATCTACCATATGACAAATTTCCACCCTCATGTGACTTGTTCTACACTCTATTCTGTACCATTAGCATATTTGCCCCCACATAAATTAGATACTAGCATAAATACTGCAAAATTATAGGTGCTAATTTAGGATAAACACACATATACTGTTTTGTTCAAAATTATTTAGTATTTTGTCATTGTCCTTGTACTTTGAATTATTTAATCAATTGATACAGACAGATTTAAGTTTTACATTATTCATTTTATATTCTAGCTTACTTTCCTGCATTTCTCCTATGCTACTCTTTACTGAGTTAATATTTCCTATTTTAGCATCTTATCTTTAATGACTTATTCCCTATATTTTCTGGGAATATTGTCTTAGTGGTCACACTGGGGCTTTTAAAAAATTGTAATTGACAAATGATTGCATATAATTATAGGGTAAAATGTGCTGTTTTGATATATATAAACACTGTATAATGATTAAATCTGAAAATGAACACATCCGTCACTTCACCTACTTGTTTTTTGTTGTGACAACTTTTAGTATCCATACACAGCAATTTTGAAATACACATTACTAGATTGCTGGGTCACATATTTTTATAGTAATTGTATTTTCACTTTCTTAAACCAATCTCCATACCGTTTCTGAAAATGGCTATACTAATTTACATTCTAAGAGAATGTCAGGGTGCCTTTTTCTGAATCCTTGCCAACACTTGTTATCTTTCAATGTTTTGATAATAGCCATTCTAACAGGTGTGAAATGGTATTAGTATCTTGTGGTACTGAGGTACATTTCACTAATGTTCAGAGATGCTGAGTATTTTCTCATGTTTATTGACAATTCATGTCTCTTTAGGCTCATCTTTTAATCAA